TAATATAGACATATTGTGTCTTTATTTTTATATTGATCCTTCACAGATGTCAAATTGATGTTTTTGTTGAGAAAATGGCTACTGTGTATTTAATTAAATAAACCTTAATTTTTTTATTTTATTTATGCGGTATTGGCACGGGTTTAACGGCCATGCGGACTAATGAACTAACGAAGTGGGGGGGTTAAAGCAAAATTATTATATGATGATCAGATAACGATTCGTTATCTCCAATAAAAATATAAATTTATTTTCTCTCATATATATATATATATATATATATATATATATATATATATATATATATATATAGGTAAGATGAGAACGAATAGGGTACAATTCCAACGTTCGTAACATTTACTTTAAAGGAGAGCTTAATACAAAGTAGGGCAATATTTTTATCTTAGGATATATCAAAAACATGTATAAAACAAAAAAAAAAAAAAAAAAAAAAAACGCTACACAATTGTAATCGTGTTTCGATGCAAACCGACGCATCTCATCAGGCGATTGTAAATGTCTGGTAACTGAACGATTTGTTTAAATTTAAAAGCAAAATACAAAATCTTTTTACGAGAAGAAAAATGAAAGAAACAAAGAAAATGGAGGAGATGGTTATAGGGGTTTGGGGCTTTACTCAGATCAACCATTCAATTTTATATATTTTTTTTCAAACATATTATATTGAATAATATAGGCATATATTATGTCTACTTGTTTTTATACTCATCTCTTCCAGTTGTGTAATCATTTTCTTAGTGTTAAGATAAAATTTATCAAGGAAGGCGCCATTGTTTTTTTTTAAGTACAAGTACTTTCGAATATAGCGACAACATGTTAAAGTGCATATAATATGATAATGCCATTTTACAATAAGAGTTTGTCTTTGTAATTTATCCGTGAAGATGATCTAATAATAATTTAATATTAACGAAAAAAAAAAAAAAAAAAAAAAGAATCCTGCCTAGGGCAATAGGCCAAAGTCAACTTTTGGGATCTCCATCAGATGTCTTCATGTGTTCTTTTAATCTCATCCATCGCGTTTCAGCGGCGAGTGTAACTCTGTGAAAGACAAAAAATCGAAGGGAGACGGATTGTATAGCGGGGCCAGGCAAACGTTCAAGTCCTGCCAGAGAGCACATATTTTTTCTTTAATAAGATTTCTTGAATTATATGCCCTCAACTAAATATATTTTGAACGCAATTGTATGGCCTCAACTAAACATATTTTCATCGCAACTGTAGGCCTCAACTAAATATATTTTCATAATATATATTTTCAACGCAATTGCAACCAATAAAATTTATCGGATCATTTTGCTATAAAATGTATTGTTGGTAATCTCTATCTATAAAAGGCAGGATGTGTGTGTGTGTAACGAATGCACGGCCGCAATTTTCGACGGATTTGCACCAAAATTTACATGCACAAAGTTAGTGGGAAGGCCAAGACCGACTTTGCATTTCCCAACTCCCATCGATAGCGGAAATAATCAAATTTTCATGCTTCTACGGCAGTTTTCATGTAGTTTGCGGCCATTTTCTACTGGTCAGAATGAGAGCCTATAGCTGGCTGCCACGAATAGGCAGGAAGTTTCTATTGGCCAGCGTGAGAGCCAACAGTTGACTGACACAAATATTAACTAGCATGCAAAAAAATCGATAGCTGCATTCGTCACAAGTGGGAAAAATTTAAATCTGCATGGCACTTTACTCCAATTGGCTCATTCGCTTGCTTAAACTCAACGTTGATTCTGATTCCGAAGAACTGGGTTGTGTGTGAAAAAGTATTGTTGTTAACATTCTTTTTTCATTCGGTTTTTCCAGTTACGAGTCCTTTTTTAAAGCTGATCGTTTTGTGTTCATTTTGTTTAGTTCTTTTTTTGTAACAGATTTAATGTTTAGTATAGAGCTTAGAAAAAATTCACAGTGTGAGATAGGCAAGAAGTAAGGCATGTAGCAACATAAGCACGGCAAAGAGCACTCCTTTGAAGGCAAGGAAGGACAAAAATATTTTAAGTCAAGTGATAGCGATTGCTGTATGAGTTGTAAGATTTTTGAATCAAGCACGGGCAACGCCGGGCCATGCTGCTAGTTCTACTATAAAATCTATAGCTGGTATTTTTACTCTAAAAATGTATTTTTATACTTTAGTATTTTGTTTTTGTTTGGGGGTTCGCTTTTGACCATAGCTGGGGCCCTAACAGGTGCTACCACCCAGAGTCAGGGAAAACATGGGAACAATAGTAATTGCCCCTGAAAACCTCCAATCACCTGATCGGAGGTCTTGCTGCCCTGATCTAGTTTATTTTCATATCCATAAATGCCATTGCAGATAGACAATGTGGAAGTAATTGTACAAGTTTCAAAATAAGATCTTTATTGGAAGATTCCACCACGACAAAAAAAAAAAAAAGAAGAAAAAAAACCGTAAATTTTGAAAAAGTTCAGATAATACTGCTTACGAAAACCAACTCAACAACGGTAGCTAATTTCTTTTGATACAAAATATTTATACGGCTTTCAAGTTAAAATACATATTAAGAAAATTAAAATCAACACAAACACACAACGTATGAAATCTACAGCAGAGAGAAAGAAAAAAAAAAGCACTTTCTAAAAGAAGAAACTACACGTTCTTGGAATGATTTATTTAACAGACATTTTCAGCCTTAAAATAAGATCTAGTGATCATCATGTTCATTTTACTGGAATCATTTTCAAAAAAAAAAAAAAAAAAAAAAAAAAAAAAAAGTTTTCTTTACCGCTGGAGCTTTGAGGATTAACCTGGATCTGACAGATAATGCTCACAAGCGCTGGAAATCAA